GAGTGTCTGTGTGGTGTGGATTAAAAGAATTGTCCTCTTTATAAATGTTCTATAGAATTTCAAACAAAAACATATCCATCCTTTTGAATCTATGTATAAGTCTCTGAACCAGACTTACAACGAATCAGCCTTTGCAGAGAAGTGGTGAAGAATGGTGGACGGAGTCGTGAAGCACAGAGTCAGAGAGAATAAGGTTCAAATCCCAACTGTGCTTCTTTTTGGCTGTGTGGCTGTAGGCTTGGTGGAGCCAACCCTTCAATGGAGATCCCACCTCCCAGGCTTGTGGGCAAACTCTAGGGAGAGAATGTATGGAAAGGGCTTTGCAAACTTTCTAGCACCATGGAGATAGCTGTCTGCTGCTGCTGCTGCTGCTTTTGCAGCTCAGCGAACAGAACAAGATTGGATCGGGGACCGCTAACCAAGGCAGCTGAAGTTGAACTGTGAGATCATCAAGTTCCTTTCCCTGTCCTTTGCCATTTTCCATGAAGGCCCCAATGTTCTCTCCACACTGTTGTGCACCATATAGTTCCTGCCCTGGGTCTCTAGGCTTATGATTGATTATAGTTCACTATATGTAGTCAGTCCCCACCCCAGGAGGATGCATTCCAATCATTGTCCTGCCATATTGGTGGGCATATTAACTACGCTCCACCTCCATGCACATACTAACACTTTCTACGTCTTTTTCTGGGAACAGTAATCAAAACAGGTCTCCCATTCCTGGAAAAGATTAGCCAACTAATTAGTAAATCAATATTGTGTCAGGAACTATCAATGAATTTCCCTAGGACTTCAGTGACTTCCTGGACCACTGCTCCCTGATGGACGTCATCTTCCCCTGCTGGAATGTAAACTCTTCGAGGCCAGGGAATGTCTCTTCTTTTTGTGTTTTTATCCCCCACACTTAGTACATTGCTTGGCACAATTCATTCACGGTTTTAAAAGGGCCATATACCTTAATCACCTGTAATTTGAGTTAGCAGCTTTGTCTTGAGTAGAGAATGGTGTCATGCAAAGAGCACTGGTCTAGGAAGGCACAAAAGATACCTGAGTTCAGATCCCACATCTGACATGGAAGAGCTGTGTGCCTGTGGGCAGTCATGACCTCCATGAGACTGAGAAATGGAGATAGCACCTCCCTCAGGGGTATATTGGATGACTTACCTGAGAGAGTGTCTCTCACAGCCCTTATCATCTTAAATTGCTACCTAAACACCAGGAGTGGTTGTGTAGCTCCTCAGAATGAACCAGATAAGGGAATGGGAGCCAGGAGTAGAATCTTTCCAGAAGGCGCTCTGGAGTAAGAATGTATGTGTTCAATGTGGAGCACTCACGGTGGCTCAGGAGCTGTAGAAGTGCCATCCTTTTTCTGGCCTGGCCCTGGTAAACTTCAGGGTTATATAGATGAAAATGTGATTCAGACAGCATTTATCAGTCAAGTGCTGAGGAATCAAAGGCCAAACAAAAACACTTCTTGCTTTCAAATAATTTGCAGTCTCCTTGGGAGATGGCGAACACTAGGTGGTACAGTGGACAGAGCACTGAAGCTGAAGTCAGGAAGACCTGAATTCAAATCCAGCCATTGACACTTATTAGCTATATGACCATGGGCAAGCTCCTTAGTTTCTCAGCCTCAGTTTCCTCATCTGTAAAATGGGAATAATACTAGCACCTACCTTACAGGGTTGTTGTGAGGATAAAATGAGATCACATGCGTATAGAGCCCTGCAAACTTGCAGGCACTATATTAATGTTGGCTACTACTGCTACCACCATTTTATACCTGTGTATCTATGTATAACAAAGTCAAAATAAAGTAAATGGCAATTAGTTTCAAGGGTGGAAGCAAAAGTACTAGTTGTAGGACCTGGAAACATGAAGAAGCAGAGAAGGTGACACAATGATTCCTAGAGGCAGAGCTGAGGATAGGAGAACACTGCAGGAATGGGGGACAGTCCATGCAGTAACACACAGGCAGGGAAAATGAAATGCCATGGGTGGGTATGGAGAGTTGGCCAATTTGGCTGAAACAGTTGGTGTTGGGGGCAATGACTTGAGGTCAGTCAGGGAAGGTAGGCTGCAGACAGATTGTGAACAGACTTATAGGCCAAATAGAGGAATTTGTATTTTAGCCTGGAGGCATTGGGAGCTTCTAGAGCAGGGCAGTGACATGGTACTAGCTTCTTCTAGGAATTTCATTTGGACAGTTGTGTTGAGGATGGATGGAGAGGGAGGATGAGGGGTGGCCATTTACGAAGTTATTGCAAGAGGCTTGGTGATAGATGAAGAGGGCCTAAAAATCAGTAATATCAATTGGATTCAAAAAAATTATATGCCATGTTGCATTCATAAAAAAATTTATCATGAATAATCACTCTTTATACCAGGTATAAAAAGCTGGTTCAACATTAGAAGACCTATCAACATAATACAACATATAATTTCTTTAAAGTATAAAAACCTTGGCTAATAATATTAATACATGCTGAAAATGCCCTTCATAACATTGAACACTGAAATATATTACTTCATCATAATAAACATACATAGTTTTAACAAAAATTTAACACTATAGGCAGTGGTGAATAATTAGGTTTCCCATTAAAGGCAGGTACCAATCAAGTATGTCAACACCAATGCTATTTATTTTATATAGAATTAGAAATACAGCAATATCAATAAGAGAGAATCAAAATTTTAGATATAAGTATTAGGTTGATTAGCATCAAAAATGAAGAGGTCAAAATATAATTACATGATTATTTGCAGGTGATGTCATAGGAAGTTTCTAAAAACTTACTATCTCAGCATGCTAAGATTGAAGGCAAAAGGAAAAGATGGCAGAGGATAAGATAGAGAGTGTCATGGAAAGAGCACACATGAACTCAGAGAGGCAGAGGTAGTAGAGGAAGGAAGGACCTGGCATGCTGTAGAACATGGGATCATGAAAAGTTGGACAGGACTGAATGACTGAACAACAACAGCAAATGAATAGAGATGACGAATGAATTCGACAATTTCATAGGAAATAAAATTAACCCACATTTGAATCACACTCACCAGACTGACCCACATTTGAATGACACAGAAAATATCCACAATTGAAATCATCTGCATTTTTATTTCCCAGTGCCAGCAATACAGAAAACATCAGACAACTTCCTCCCCTATTTATAACAAAACCTAAAGCCTCAATTCATTGGAAATTAGACTAGCTAGAAATGCCTATGAGCACTTGAAAATCATCATAGCATTGGTGATTGAAATTTAAAAAAAGATGTAAGTAATTAGAGGTGTCCTCAATGTCTACGGACAGGTTGGACTGATAAAGTAAGAGTAAGAATACCTCAGAATTAATGTATAGATGTAATGCATTGAGCAGGGTTTTCTTCATTAGATTAGATAAAATTATAATAAGTTTTATATGGAAAACGAAATAGACCCAAACAGCAAGGAGAATAAGAATAATAAGTAAAGATAGCCTTGTACTCCAAACTCTTTCAAATATATAGCAGTGATATTATCATAATTAGTTGGTCCAGATTGCACAAAAATGGATCAATGAAAAGAGACAACAGAACCCCAATCAAATATTTTTAAAAGATTAGCATCTGGCAAATATGCAAATAATTGAAACTAGGCAATAATTAATTATTTTAAAAATATACATAGGAAAAAAATGTTTAGGAATCTGGATTTGGACCCACATGTTACACCAAATTCCTTGGTAAATTCCAACTGGATGAGACACTTAAACCAAATGAAACTATGCAAAGAAGACCAAAAAACTGAATAATATCCTCATTAATGGAAGGAAGGTGATCTTTGTAAATAAAAATAAGGAATTGTTAAGGACAAGATAACTCCATTTGATTGACAAATGTATCAATGATAATTTAAAAGTTTAAGTACAAACAAAAACAAAATAAAGAAAAAAAACAGACTGGGGACATATTTATAGCAAATGTGATGAATAAAAGTTTAATATATAAAGAACTATTAAATGTACAAAGTTAAGTATAAGCCCACAATGTATAAATCATAAAAAAGAATGGGATCAGGCTATTTTCTAATGTGAAACATACATTTTTAATAACCCCTTGAAAAATTCTTCATTAATCATCAGAGTGATATAGATGAAATTACATTGAAGGTTTACCACACACATAAACATCAAATTGGCAAATTTAAAAGCAATGAAAAATAGTTCTTTTGGGGTTGTGAGAAATTTGATATGCTGGTTATACAGAAATTTGACACTGATAATATATGTTGTAGATTTGAATGTTTATAGAATCTTTTGAAGGACTATATGGCTGTGTTCACTAAAATTTGTTTTTTCAAAAATCCTCGTCTTAGACCCAAAACTTTAATAGTTGGAAACATACCATGGAACTGTGATTTTTTTAAAAAATATTATTTGTTCATCACTTAGCATAGTGCTTGGCACATAGTATGAACTTAATAAAGTTTATTGATTGATTATTTAAAGTTTTTTTTTCATCAAGAAGCATTGTTTATAATTGCAAAAGAAAAAAACAATAGCAACAACAACAAAGAACTAAGTTAGCTAAATATCTGGCAGTGGAATTGAAGAAAGGTGATAGAATAAATTGTGATGCACTGTTGTAGTGGGACACTTCAAGGCAATTAAGATGAGCAAGTGTGGGGAACGCTAGAAAGGATGGAAAGATGGTCATGGAGTGATAACTTTTTTAAAAGAGGAACCAAAATGGAGTGTACACAATGACAAGAGAAGAGGAAAGAGGCATGGGAATGGAACGAAACTTCCTGCACGAGACTTAGTGTCATTGAAAAGCAATGCCATTTTTTGCTTCAAAATTCTTCTTTCATTGTAAATACTTCAGTTGTTTTTACAGATGCTCATTATGGTTAAAACCAAGTCATTTAAAATGTCATAACTTCTTGAAACCTGACACTTTATGCCTATAATTATGTCCATCATTTGAGATTTTCCTCTTGTTCTTTTTTTTTTCTAGCAAATGGTCTCCCAGCAGCGTCTTCTGCTTCACGAAGAGTCCATGAATCTTTTAAGCCTTTATCCATCCCCATCTTTGCCCAACATAACTCTGGGTCTCCCTGCTGTGCCACCGCAGCTCAGTGTAAGTAGCCTGTCGGAGCAGGCCTCTTTTCTAGAACGATGAACTGAGTTTTCATTTTCTCTCATTAGTTACTATGTAATCATTGCTAGGATGTGTCCATATGGGGTCAGACATTGGAGAGTGGCCATAGCCTTCCTTCTTTAGCACAATCCTACAAAGAAGCTTAAACTGGTTCTAATTTTAAAAAATGAGACTGCGGTAAGAGGTCATGAGATGTAAGGCTCAGTTCAGGGCCAGATGGATGTAGTTTTTTGTTTTAATTACATTTTTCTTCAAACATCCACCTTCTCTCTCTCTCCCTCCCCCAAAGAGAAAGAAAAAAAGCCAAAATTCCTTGTTACAAATATGTGTAGTCAAGCAAAATAAATCTCCATGGTAGCCATGTCCAGAAATAGGTCCCTGGCCTATCCTCCCAAGTCTATCACCTCTCTATCAGGAGGTGTGAAGCCTATTTAATCATGAATCTTCTGGAATCCTGGTATGTTTTTATGGTGATTAAAGTTTCTAAAACTTTCAAAGTTGATTGTCTTTACAAAACTTTTATTATTACATAAATTGTCCCCCTGGTTCTACTTACTTCACTCTGCATCAGTTCATGCAAGTCCTCCTAGGTTTCTCTGAAACCACCCCCTGCATCATTTCTTAGAGCGCAAAGAATTTTATCACATCTACTGATCAGTGATGGTCTCTTTGTGGAGAACCCACACAGAGGCCACTTTGTCTGTAGCAACCCTACTAAGTCATTGAAAGGTTGTAATCAATGTCCATATAGAAAGTACCCAAACCAATGAAATCACTGGTGCTTGAAAAATGGGAGGTGTGTCCACTGGGGGCTGGATGAGGTAGGGGGAGGAGAAGGGAGCCATTCCCATTCTCTTTGGCAATGAATTCTATTTGTGAAGCTTTCCTGGATAGATGAAACTTGATAATAATAAATTAAGCTATCCTTAGTTTGGACAGCCTGGCTCAGTGGAAGAAAAGGTGCTTTTTAGAGTCAGGAAGACATAGATTCCAAACTCATCTCTAACACGTCCCAGCTGTGTGACTCATGACAAGTCACTCAATGTCTGAATGCCACAGACAAGTTTCTAATTTGAAGGAGAATTATCCATTTGTTTCAGAGGATGGAGATTCTGCATCAGGTATTATGTACACTGATAAAATCCCAAACCGTCCAAACATAGAATGTTTGATCAAATACTACATGCATGTGTTTTAGACCAGGTTCACACTAGTGACAAATGCAACATGGTGATCCTGTCAATCCTGAGCCATCTTCTCCTTTAATTAGAACTAAGTTGCATATTCTTAAAGAAATTGTCAGGCAATAAACATTTATTAAGTACCTGCTATGTGCTGGGCACTGTGCTAAACGCTGGGGAAACAAATATTTTTAAAAAGGCATCTTTCAAGTACCTTATAATTTAATGGGGGAAGACTGAACATAGAAGAAAGTCAAAAAGTTGGAGGTCTGGAGGGCATCTGGGGGGATGGGGGAGAAGTCTAAATTCCCAGAGGAGTGCAGCTATTTGAGAAATGAGAGGAGGTCTGAACTGAGCTCCCTCCTTCAGTAGAGGTTTGGGAGTTCATGCTCTTCATCCCCCCAACCAGAGGGGCAAAGGGTAGTGATAAGGTGGAGTCCCAAGACCAATGGGATCCTGCAAGATAATGAGGTTTTCCCAATAGTGACCTTCCTGGATCATGAAGGAGAATTCATTCAGCGAAGTACCAAAGTCACGCAGCCAGGTGAGAAATTAGATTTAGTTATAGACGATGGAGAATTTTAAAATAGGAAATTCAGTGAGTTGAATTTCATTATTTTGCTTAGAGAATTTTTTAAGGAAAATCAACATTAGAAGTTTTCAGGCAGGCTGGGTGACCATTACCCAGTTATGTTGCTGAAAGGTCTTGGTCAGGCATAGGTTCCACAGGATGGATTTTGAGATACCTTTCAATTGAGGGCCTCTATGATTCTGTGAAAATGAAAAAAAAAAACCTAGCAGTTTTTGGAATCATTCAGCTTGGGGTGAAATATCAGGAGAGAGAGGATAAATGGGCAATTTTTCTTGTCTACTCTGATATCATGGATACTTATCTCTCTGGACATTTGATCTATATAAAATTTTTCTTGGATTTAGTCATTAGAATAAATTTTATGTTTCCAGCAAACCTTCTACCTTCAGAGTATAAATGTTTTAAAATCTCTTCAGAAATGAACTCACTCTTTGAACCAGATGTTAAAATGCTCTTGGTGGAAAGAAAAAAAAAATCCCAAACTAAGCTCTCCTTCACATTTAGTGCCCTGATACCTAATCCAGAGTTCCCTCAAGTGGCTTCAATCCTGTTTTTTATTTCTCTTTCCTTAATTCGGTTAGTTTAACAGGCTTGTGCCTCACAGCTTTCCTTTCTCAGTCGTTGGGTAAGAGGGGGGCATTGTTTTGGGAAATGATGACATAATAAACGGATCTAATTATGTGCAGCCCAAATGGCCTCCATGGATGAAAGGGGATTATGCTGTTTGTTATTTCTTGACACAGGCTTCATCTTCCATCAAAGACAAACAGAAGTGCGAGGCCCCAGCACTAAGGCCACCAGGAGTTACATTGCCGGGCAATACACCGGAAGCATCCCAGCATCTTCCAGTCATCCGCATGCTGCCCTAGAAGGAAAACCCAACAGCAGCCACCAGGCACTCCTGCAGCACTTGTTGCTGAAGGAGCAGATGAGACAGCAGAAACTGCTCGTGGCTGGTAATTAACCGGGGTCCCTGACCAATACGTTACCTTAGGGCTTGGGCTTCATTCTGGAACTCTCTAGAGCTAACTAACTATCTCCCTTAATTCTCTATCACCCTGGTCAAAAGTTGCACCACAGGAGAAGGTACTCTTTCCTGGTAGTGGCAACGCTCATTCATCTTCCTTCCCCCAGGGTTGCTGGATAAAAATTAAATTCATCCTACCTGTTAATTACCAGCATGGGCTTTTATAAGGCATGTCATCTGAGGCCCAGGTAGAGGATAATTTTTCATCCTTATTTACTCATGGACATGCTTGTTCTCCCTCAAAAAGAATTCAAACTCCTTGGGGTAAGGGACTTTTTTCATTTTTGTCTTTGTACCCCCCAATGCCCCTAGCAGTTGGTGGATCCTTCATTCATGCCACATGGATTGACTTGATCTAGACCCATCCCTACCCCTTCCAAGTTAATAGTCCATCACCACTGTTTCTGCTCCCTGTAACATGTCTCCAGTGATCTAAACACGATGTCATTTCTTTGCTTTGCAGGCGGGGTTCCCCTTCATCCTCAGTCTCCACTGGCAACAAAAGAGAGAGTATCACCTGGCCTTCGAGGTGCCCACAAATTGCCTCGCCATAGGCCCCTGAACCGTACTCAGTCTGCCCCTTTGCCTCAGAGCACGTTGGCCCAGCTGGTCATTCAGCAGCAGCACCAGCAGTTCCTGGAGAAACAGAAACAGTACCAGCAGCAGGTCCACATGAACAAAGTGAGTTCATCATCTACCTCAGTGCCTTGATCATCGTTGGCATTCATTTTTAAAAACTCCATTAATATGCATACTCATACCAACATATGTAAGACTGAAATTGGAGGTCACTATTTAGGCACATTAACCAAAACAAAAACTTGGATGGAATGATATTATGGGGAAGGGGGATCAGTAAGTTCCATAAAAACCATTTTAAATGTAGAAGACATTACAAAAAAATCTAAATCAGTCTTGATAGTTACCTGAGACTCCGAGTGGGTTGGGAAAGGCAAGTCTGCTAAGATTCAACCCTGAGGAGGGTTGGTTAAATTCACTAAAAACCTTGAAACCCAGTGCCCTGACACCTCCAAATAGTTAGCAGTGTCCTTGAATTTCTCAGCTGACGATAGAATAGAGATGAGGCACATAGCAGGCTCAAGCATAAGAAACCAGAACACAGCAGCGTCCTAGTGGGGAAGGGTAAGAAAGAGTATACTCTTTCCCAGGAATCTCTCACCTCCAGCCAGGAGATCTAGGCAGAGATGATAATTTTCAGATGAGCTTGGATGTCCTGTCAAACTGTTGTTCAAGTCTGGGAATGAAAAAATCCACCGACATTTCCCCGGCAACAGAAAATACCAAGCCTTCATGCAATGTGTAGAAAGGGAGAGTAATTCATTAGGTTTGGAGACTGTAGATTCAGAAGCCCAGAAGCTTAATTACACACCTCACTCCCACCCCCTAACTTCCTTAAGGGGACTGAAGGACCAGAGGATCCAGTGGGTCAGTGACTCCAGACTTGCAGAAGAAAAGGGAAAACAAAAAACCAGAAAGTCTTCAGAGGTTACCTTGTATGTTTGCTTTGCCTTTGAGTTGCAGAGGTAGCTAGGTGAAGCAATTAATGTGAAGCCTCTTTGTTGTGAGTAGAGCTGCTACAGATGAGGACTGTGGCCTTTCTAAGCAAGTTGTTTATATAAAGTGCCGGGTTCTGTTTACCAGCTTCTAAAGAGCAAACATTCCAAATGGGCAGAGGGACCTGGTTTAATGGGATTCGTTGAAGAATGTCACATTGTCCTGATCTTAGTGATTGCCTGGGTTCTAGTGAATTAACTGTGATATCATGAAATGATGTTCTTTGTTATGTGAGTAAATCTGTTAATAAAATAGGAAAACGTTACAACTGATGCCAGGTAATGAGGATGAATGTAGTGTACATTCTTATGGAAAGAGGGCCCATCTGTCTTTGAGGTAATTAGTTCATAGAATATTGACTTACCTGATGTGATGGAAGATCTCTGTCTCTCTGTCTCTCTGTCTCTCTCTCTCTCTCTCTCTCTCTCTGTCTGTCTGTCTGTCTGTCTCTCTCTCTCTCTCTCTCTCTCTCTCTCTCTTTCTCTCTGTCTCTCTGTCTCTCTCTCTCTCTCTCTCTGTCTGTCACACACACACACACACACACACACACACACACACACACACATACACACACACAATTTTCTTAGTAGTTCTTAATTTCTTGGACAAAATCAGGTCATGATAGCCCAGTTGGTGTTGTTGCCCTTAAAATTACTTGTTATCTGCTTTGCATCTGTTTTTCATTTTCTTCTCTGTGGCTATGCTGTTACTTCCCACTACTCCCATGTAGAATGTAAGCTTCATGAGGATGGGTACTGTTTTTTCTATTGGGCACTTACTATGTGCATGCTCAGTTGAATCAAAGGAAAGGCAGTGTGGTCCCATGTAAGGGACACTGATGTTAGAAGCAGAGGACCAGGTTGAAACCCCAGATCTATTAGTGACCAGCTGCAGGATTTCAGGTCATTCTTCCCTGGCTCTCAGCTTCTTTACCTGTAGAATGAAAAGACTGGTCTCTAGGTCTCCAAGCCTATGAATGGCAACTGACAGTATGTTTCCCACTGACTTTACTCACACGTTGCTTGGTTTCTAAAAGTGACCCATCAGGTTGCTTCCTGGTGGTTTCTAAATTTCTTGTTGGAAGTCTGGTTTACAGTTAGAATGGAAATCCAAGATCTCTCTCTTCTGTATCCTCAGGGGTTTTTCTACAGAGACATCCTAGTGTAGCCAAATTTACTGTGATTGCATTTTTTAAGAGTACCTAACCTATCGATTGATGCAAACACATGCATGCTTTACATCTGTTGCTGGCACAATGGTGAAGGGCCTAACCGGGAGGCAAGACTCCATGGCTCATGGTAGCCACCAGAGATCAAATGTTCTACGGCTCATGGCCTGGGTTCCCCACAGACATCTTAGCTAGGTACAGGCCACTGTAGATGTCATGTTTCTGACTGGCCAGTCAGCAACATCAAGGATCATAATTGACTGAAGTATGGCCCAAGTTCTGCCCTGGGGTCAGCTACCTTTATAAAGCAGAACGTGCAGGTTCAAACCCCTTCAGTGTGGGCTGAGGTGCTGACCTCACAAGATTCCAAATCACCAGGGTGAGCACAGAGGGCAAAGCAATTACCTTTTTTAATGTTGCTTGGATATGTTTAAGTATTTACCAGAGGGGGGGAAATGTTACACTTCTTGAGATTTGGGATTATTCTGTGGCTTGGTTTCTTGATCCCCAGCATCTCATGTAGTGCCTGGTACACGGGAGAGTCTTAAGAATTGCTCATTGAATGAACAGAAAGGTCCTGGGAAAAGCTTTACCCAGAATAAAACAATTCAATTTGTGTTAGAAGACCTGGGTTTGAATCTGTCCCTTGGACATAATGATAATAGCTGATATTTATAAAGCCCTTTAAGGTTTGTGAAGCCCTTCCTTGTTTCATTTCAACTTCACAATACCCCTGGCAAGGGGGTGCCATTATTATCCCCATTTTATAGATGAAGAGACTGAGTCTGAGTTGATTGCTTTGCCCAGGCTCATATCAATGGCTAAAGAACAGAAATCTTGCTGGCTTCAAGGCTGGCACTCTATCCACTGTCACCTAGCTGGATGTGACTTCTGATCCTTGGTTTCCTCATCTCTAAAATGGGATGATCGGACTGACATTCAAGTTGGAAGCTGAGTCTAGAGGCCTTCCTATTTACCATTAATGGTTTAGCTTAGAAATCAGAGGTTTAAAAATAACAAATATTGAGTTGGATGGAACTTCCTGTTTTTCTTTTACTTCCATTTTCTGAAAACAGGTGCACACTCCTAAATTTTTGAAGAAAAAGGTGATTAGAATTAGTATTGCCTACATGTCAGTAAATTCTTGTCTTCCTTTGAAAATCCCACACAGACTCTGGCTAAGACAAATCTTCCTTCCACAATGTTCTAAATCCTCTTTTGGACTGAATCATGCCCCATAACCTCCAGATGCCACTCTTCTCTGTTGGGTGACATTATTAATATCAGAACTGCTCAACACATCTTTCCCTTCTGTGTCCCCCTTGAGTCTCTGACAGGCAAATGCTCATCCCAGCCTTGTGGATAGGGGCAAGATGAAAAGCAGCTTCCCTCTAGGACACGGAGGGAGAAAGCAAATCTTATCAGAGAGCTCACCCATGTGGTGCTGATTCCTTGGAATCTGCAGAGAATTCACACAAAATTGGAAACAAGCCTGGACTTTTGATCCATAGTTTCTCCAGTGGTTGGTTTATTAAATCTTGTCTTAATTAGACAAAACGAAAACCAGGGAACATCAAAGTTCCAAGGAGAGCATTGTATGTTAACCCCTCTCAGCTTGGGTGTTTAGAGGACACTGGCAAGGCTCTGCTGGCTTTTCTCTGAGGATGGGTTCCAGATGTGGAATCAAGATGGCGCATGCAACACTGGGGAACTTCTGTATGGGGAAATGACTTCACCTGCCATTAAAAGGACAGAAGAACAGAGAAATGTTTCATTATGGAAAGCATTTTTACCTCTGTTTTGTTCCAGTATATTCACAGGATGACCATCAAAGAAGCAAGTAACTTCTTTTCCTTCTTCTTTGGGTTTTTGGCAAGTGAGCATCACGTGACACAAGAGCGTAGCAACAACAATAGTAATACTTATGTAGTACTATAAGTTTTCAAGGTACTTTTACATATGTTTTCTTTCCCCTGAATAATCTTGGGAAATAGGTACGGTTATCATCCCCATTTTACAGATGAGCCTGAATTTCTGAGAAGTGATAAATTGTGCTCAGAATCACACAGCCAGCTACTGAGTGTCACACAGAATTCTCACTTAGATCTTTCCTTCCTCTGACACCAGATTTTGCTTCACCAAATTGCAAGTTTTAACCCAAGTTTTGTTGACATATAACTGCCTTATGGCCCACCCTAGTGGGTATGGGTGACTCATGTGATTGGGAGATTTTTTACATACTTTACCCATTTTTCAAATGCATCTGAAGCTTGGTATCACAGTAGTAGAGTATATTTAACATGCACAGCAGCTGAAGGTTCCCCAAGCTCTTTCTGTCCATTGTTTCATTTGCTTCTCCAATTACCCCTTGAGGCATGGATATCCTCAGCTAGGCATTGAGGAAGTCAAAGCTTAGGGAGGGTAAGTGGTCACTCAGCTGGCAGATTTTGAACCCAGGCTATGCTAACATCAAAGTGAGCCGTCTTTCTACCAAACTAGGTCAAAGGAAGTCCATATCCTTGAGGAAACCCAAGGACAGACTGGGGGCCCAGGCACATGAAAAAACACTCATCAAATGTTTGCCTTCATTGCTTCTGGTTTCTTATGGACATTTAATAGGGATTCTTTTGAAAGAAGAAGGGGTTAAGAAAAGAAGCTTTCTAAGAATGAAGGTAAAAGCAGGAAGGGGACTGACCAGATGCAATCAGAGAAAAGCTGATAGTGTCTTGGATGGGAAATTCACAAGATTTGAAATGCCTCAAAAAATGATTCTGAACCACATTTGCAGAATCACCCATGTATGTGTATATGCGTGTAAACATATATACACATACACATATGTAAACATACATATATATACAAAATACATTAATACAAATGTATAGGTATATAGGCACACATGGCACATATGTACCTACGCATGTGTATAGTACACTTA